TCGTCTCGACTCCGGGGGGGGGGGGGGCGGGGTAGTTGGAAAAGGGGCACTATACATATATAGGCACCACATTGGCCTTTTGCCAATCTGTTTGTACCGAGCCATTCTAAAAAGGATGTGTAGAGCCATCTGGTACAGGAGCTTTATTCACCTTTTTCTGGACCATATCAATCTTGAGTTATTGAGGTTCATTTGAGGTTGTGGTAATATCATTCTTATTTTGTACATCAGCTCCACCACATTTCTTTGTATATACAGAACTTAAAAAGGTACTTAATAGATTTGATATCGCTTTGTCCCCTGTAACCGAATATCAAGGGAACATTCTCTGGGTGCTGCCCCAAAGAGACACATTTTAGAATAATTGTTCATTTATGTGTTATCTTTTGGTGCAGGTCAGTCCTATGAAATTCGGATGTTAAGTAACTGGAAGGGAGCTGCTGACCTGCCTGAAGGTCGTCACCTGCTAAAAGTAAGATATTTACAGTGGCCTGTATTTTTAAGTTATTATGGCCATAGACACCCATTTCAAATATTTATTAGCCAGGGGTGGACCTTGGTCATGCTACACATGCCCAAAAAATGTAATCACAGTACACAGGGTGTGTGTAGTACACCCTGGCCTTCTGCCCCGTTGCTGTTTTCCCCTTATAATTACTAGATTTGCCAGCTGTCAAAATAACATTCAGGAGTTACTGTGTAAATACAGCAGCTATTACAGATGCTGTAAAAAATTACCTTCCAACACAGTATTTATAAACATTGTTCAGACACAAGATAGAAAGATACAAAGTAACATTGCTACTTTGGTATTTACTCTTGTACATTAATATGCAGAGCAAAGGTATGAACTTTGATGTGCATATGTCAGTTAAAACAAGTAAAAAATAATAATAATGATAATTAATCAATAAAATATTTTTTTCCTATTTTAACCCTGTATTAATCCTTAGTTTACTCTAAGCAGCCCTTAATAACTCCTTATTTCACTTCTCCCCAAAGTTATTATTTTCCTTTGGGGAAAATAATTTCTTATTTCTTATAGAAAGAAAATTTTTGTTTCTTTCTATTTTTCTAAACATTATTATTTACATTTTTATTTGTCGTGTTTGTTAATGTTTCTAGTGTCACATTTAAAAAAAGCTCAAAGCTGAAAAAATTCCTTTATTTTTAATTAACTGTCCTATGTGCAATTTTGTACCAAAATAATAATTTAATAATAAAGTAGTGAAAAAGTTGTTGTCGCATAAACAGACCCATAGCAGAAATGTAACAATTGCTCTGACTATGAGGGGTTGTAGAGGTTTGAGAGCTGAATTGATCAATAAGTAGTCGGGCACCTCGAAGGCTTTAATTAAATTCCTCTTATGGGTGAAAAACAGAGGTGTATATCTAAACCCAAGGACAAAAATATAATACATTGCAGCTTTTCAGTTCTCAGATGCGGTGTCTATATTAGTTTTCCTTTATCAGGAAGTGCAGAAAAATACTTGCTGATTCTGATAGAAATCCAGTATACTTGTAACTTCCTGTGAAGTGAACTAAAAACACAATGTTATGAAGTTGAAAATCTAGTCAGCAACCTAGTGTGACAACACTGCACATTTATAGGTGTGCAGTGAGTGAGTGTTGAGTTTTAAGTGCACTACTGAGGACAGCAATACGGGAGCTACCATTGTGAACTAGTTTTTAAAGGAAATCTGTCATAAGAGCAAAATGGAGGCTGCCATTGCTTTTTCTGCTGAAAATGTTGTTCAGAATGTTCCAAAACCTGCATGTCAACATAACAGCCAGATAAGTAGATTGATCAGCACTAGGTCTAAAGAAGATCCATCGTTCATCAAAAGCTTGCACTACAATCTGTTTAGTTAGTCAATAATTGGTATGACTCTAAATCCATACTTCTACAAACCTATTTTAGCAATGGCAGCCCCTCTATTCCTCTAAAAATTGCTTTACTTTAATGACACTTTCTCTGAGACTGTCATTCTTATCTGGAATTTGTTACCTAGTCAGCTACTGAACTGGAACAAGTATGGAGAATGGTAGTTGTATCATTCCTAGACTTTACTAGCTGCATGCTTCCTCCAATTAGTGACTCACTTGGTAGTGAAGCAATATTGGTGCTGAAACGCTGCGTTTTTATGAGCCTTTATTTTATAACTGTCATCCCAAAGTATGGTGGCATCCATACTTTCAGGATCAGGATGCTGGCCTTATAAGTGGGCACTTTTTAAGCAAATCAGAAATGGTAGACCTGGTATTTCTTCCTCCAAGGTTCACTTTAAGCTGCTACAAAATGACACTGTCATGACAGGTACTCTTTAGCTGATTATGACTTACCTCCTTCACAGAGTGTGGTTCGAGTAGTGTTCCATGATCGACGTCTGCAGTACAGTGAGAAACAGCAGCTGGAGAGCTGGCAGATGAGCCACCCTGGGGACAGAATTCTTGATATAGGTAGGTTAACACTTTCCTCCTAAACACTCGTTTTTACAAGTGCACTGTTTGTATAGAAGAGGAAATAAAGTTGTGAGTGTGTGTGCCAGTGATAGAACTCCAGCCAAACACAGAATACATGCAATGTATTACCTGTCAAAAAATATGCTATTCTGTTTAGCTGCTCTTGTGATAGCTTATCCTATCCTACCACACCAACAACGGGGCACTATTTCTCTCCCTGACACCAAAGATGGGGCAATATTCCTCTCACTGACACCAACAATGGGGCACTATTCCTCTCACTGACACCAAAGATGGGGCACTATTTCTCTCACTGACACCAAAGATGGGGCACTATTCATCTCACTGACACCAACGATCGGGCACTATTCTTCTCACTGACACCATCTATGGGCACTATTCCTCTCACTGACACCAACAATGGGGCATTATTCCTCTCACTGACACCAAAGATGGGGCACTATTCATCTCACTGACACCAACGATCGGGCACTATTCTTCTCACAGACACCATCTATGGGCACTATTCTTCTCACTGACACCATCTATGGGCACTATTCCTCTCACTGACACCAACAATGGGGCATTATTCCACTCACTGACACCAAAGATGGGGCACTATTCATCTCACTGACACCAATGATCGGGCACTATTCTTATCACTGACACCATCTATGGGCACTATTCCTCTCACTGACACCAAAGATGGGGCATTATTCCTCTCACTGACACCAACGATGGGGCATTATTCCTCTCAATGACACCAACCATGGGGCATTATTCCTCTCAGTGACACCAACCATGGGGCATTATTCCTCTTAGTGACACCAACCATGGGGCACTGTTCCTCTCAGTGATACCATTAGGTGGCAACTGATGATGTAATGTGAGGGCATGCGCACAGGAGTAAAAAAAAAACAATAAGGTGATCAGCGCCAGTAGGTGCTATTATGTGAGATAATGTGAAATAAGAGCTACCAAGCACTAAGGATATAAATAAATACAGGTGAAACTCGAATAATTAGAATATTGTGCAAAAGTAATTGCAGTAAGTGCTGCAAAAGGGGCCCAAACCAAGTACTGAGTACATATGCATGCTTGTACTTTTCAGAGGTCCGATATTGTTCTATGTACAATCCTTGTTTTATTGATTGCATGTAATAATCTACTTTTCTGAGGTTGTGGATTTGGGGTTCTTGGGGTTTTCATGAGCTGTAAGCCATAATCATCACAATTATGACAAATCACGGCTTGAACTATCTTGCTTTGCATGTAATGAGTCTATCTCATATATTAGTTTCACCTTTTAAGTTGCATTAGTGAAATAAATGAACTTTGCACGATATTCTAATTATTCGAGTTTCACCTGTA